GAAGACTTCATATTAGATCTTATGTTTTTAAGCCTGAAAATGAAACTGTATAAATACTTGAAGGTGACCCATGAAGCTATGTGTTCTGTGTAAAATATTGTCCAGAAATGAGAAAGGGAAATTGGTCAGAAATCTGTGAAGGCAATATTAAGAGAATAAAATTATTCCTTGATTGTTTCATGCTGATTTCTGCCTTTTGAATAAACCAGTTATATATTTTAAAGAGAGAAGAGGGCTTTTCTATTAAAATTATTTTTAAGAGTTTTTATTTATTCTTAACAATTATTTGCTGAACACCTAGTGTAGCCTAGGTAATCTTCTAGGCATTTGGGGATATGTCAGTGAACTAAAAAAGATGAAAATCCCTGTCTTTTGGAGTCTGTATTCTAGGTTGGGGAAGGGAAGAGAGAATGACATCACATGGTATAATATATTTTCCATGGGGAGAAAATAAATTAGAGCGGATGATGGGGATAGAGAATATGGTGGGAAAAGCAGTAATGAGTATGTGATTTGAATGTTTGTGTCCCCCAAAATTCATATGTTGGAATCCTAAGGTTCAATGTGGTGGTATTGGGAGATGGGGTCTTTGGGAGGTGCTTACCTTACAAGCATGGAGCCATTATAAATGGGATCAGTGTATTTACAAAAGAGACCCCACCAGAGCTCCGTGGCCCCTGTCTGCCATGTGAGGGTACAATGAGGGAGAAGCCCACGGTCCAGAGGAGGGGCCCTCACAGGATCACACTGGCACTGTGATCTCCCGCCTCCAGACTGTGGAGAATGAATTTCTGTGGTTTACAGGTTACCCAGCCTGGGGTATATTGTTAGAGCAGCCCAATGGGCTAAGGTAATGAGTAAAGTCTCAAGTATTTGAGGAACTGAGCCAGATGTCTGAGGGAAGAGTGTACCATGCACAGAAGAGAATTCACACAGAGGCTCTGAGGCAGAAGGCTTCCTGGAGTGTTTAAGGACCCCTTCCCTAAATAGCTCAAAATGTTCAGAACTGTTAGGAAGCTTGTCCAAGGTATGAGATGCAATGTACTTCATGCAGTGGGACCTTAAAATGTATTCTGAAGCAGTGCATAAAGGCCAAGGGCAATCCTTTGCTGGAAGACACACTGTGCTCTCTCTTTGCTGGGCCTCTGTTGCATCTTTGGGGCAGAAGTGCTAGAATGGACCCTGCAGGCTGTGGGGAGAGACTGGGGTTAAGGGGTGCCTTTGCTTTGAACATAAATCTCCTGATCCTAATATAACCCTTGGCAATCATTTCAGGGAATTCTTTTCCATTTCTGTAATCTTCCTAGTCCTTCTTCTGAGCTACCGCAGCTATTAATTCCTTGAACCACCAAAGACCTTTCCTGATAGAGGTATTAATACTGTTTCTTTCCCTGACTGGAATTTCTGCCATCTTCACGTGGCCGGTTCTCTTTGTCATTTGGGGTTTCATCTCCACTGTCACCTCTCAAGAGATTTTTCTTCCCACCCCAGTTACTCTACCTCCTTGATATGGCATAATTTTCTTAGTGCTTATATGTGTGTAAAATTATTATGTTTATTTTCTGTGATTCCTTGTCAGTCTTTTGCTAAAATGTAAAATAAAACAAAATTATTTTTTGTCTTTTTCTTTGCTATGGATCAGCAGTGTACTACCAACAGAGTAAATCCTCAAAAAATACATTCATTGCCAAATGGGTAAATAATATAAGAAGTAACATTTATTGAATATTTACTATGTGCTACAAATAGCGTTAAATACTGTTCTGTGGATTTCCTATTTAAAACACCTTACCAACGCTATTGTCTTTGTTTCATAGGGACATTTTAATCAAGTAATTTACCCAGCATACTCAGCTGGTTATTTCATTCTTTCTCTGACTCTGCGACCCATCACCCCACACAGTCATTAAGATGGCTCTGCACCGGTCCCCAATCTTCTGCAGGTCAGCACATTAGAAGAGGGGGATTTTAACACTCCTGTTGGGCAGTGGTCAGACTCATTTGGGGAGGTGAGGAGCATTGGGAATGGTGTGTAGTAGGTCTCAAAGGTTGGTGCCCTCAGGCGGAATTTAGCTCAGAGTCATCTTTGTTTTGCCTGGTACTTTGTTTAAAAACAGGAAAACTCACCTAAAAATCCAGTTGTGTTGCATCTCTTGAGTACTTACTACCTCCTCCAATGGGGTATGTGCTTTTCTCACTCACTTCAACCTCCCCTTCTGCCAGTGTCTTACCCCAATGTCCAAAAAAGCATTGCACATTTTTCAGGGCATTGTGAGGAGACATGCAGCATATGTTTGAGTGGTTGATGTACACGTAGTTGCAGAAATAGAGTTACACAACCCGAAAACCCATGAACAGCTAGCTTCTTTCCTTGCAGGATGATCACCCTACAGCAAGAGAACAGGAATCACTATAATGCGGGAGCCGTTGTACTGCCTGCCTCATGCCCACGGCAGGTGCCAGAGTTCTCTTGTGTGGAGCCCACACTGTCCCAGACATCTCAGTTACTGAGCTTGTTTTCTCCATCCCCGTTCACATTCTGATCTGCTTGGAAGTTTCCCTAGTGTCCAGAGTCAGATAAACCCTGCTTTCTGGGAAGTGAACTGGAATCTGCAAGTTACCCTAAAGTGACTGTGGATCTAGTAAATGTGATCGAGATGCCCCTTCTGATAACTGAGCTGCGATGCTCCTCAAGTTTGCCTAGTAGCTTGCTGCTTTCACTGATGTGACTGGCCTCATAGGAAACAAAAACTTCCCAGTTTTTGCTGTCTGCCCCTAGAAACGTTATTCAGGGCCAGATATAATGCGTGTTTTTCAGAATTAAAAAGTATGCATATTTTAAATACACTTAAGATAATTTTTTTTAATATGGTGGGCATTTAGTTTTGGCCACCTGTAGATACATTGTTTCATTTCAGCATTTAAAAAATACTGTATTCAGATATATTTGTCCAAATTTCTGAGTAGGAAATACATATTTAGAAAAATATCATTGATTGGTCTCAATATTGAGTAGTATTCCTTTATCCCTACCTTGGCTCCACCTTGATACTATGGGTTATTATTATTATTATCTCTGTCATGGTTCCTTTCTGTCCAGCTACTAATTTGTCTATAGTAGAGTCCTCTCAGTTCTAAAAGTTGAGGGCAAAATTTTTATTACTTTAATAATTATTTACCACAAATGCTGTAAAAAGACATGTTATCTTCATGATTCCAGGTTCTAGGTAGGCCCTTTGTTATTTCACTTCTTTTTTTCTTACCAGTATTTTCAAATATATACCCATCCCAACATAAAATGAATGCTTTTAAAATACCCACTTGGATTGCCAAGGGAAGTAGTTGAAGTGTATGATGTATAGACTTCTAAAAATTAATCATTCTTTGTACAAATTTTATTGTCTTAGGTAGTGGGCAAAAATGGACTTAATCGTAATATAAGGCACCGTGTTGCCTCATTCCATTTTATTATTGGATTGATGGGTTAATGTCTGTGAAGTGCTCTGAGCTCTTCCATGAGGCTGTAGAGATTTATGCAGTTGTGTACACCTTGATGAAAGAAAGGGTAAATGTCTTAAATATTTTATAGCACACATGCTGTCATTAAATATATTATTGACAGCAAGCTGAAGGTGAGCAGGAGGGCATTTTGTTCATTTTTGTAACCCTGGTCCCCCACACAGTGCCTGGTGCTTTCTAAAAGTTCAGTAGATGTCAGAATTGAAGGGAAGTTGCTTGTGTTATCATTAGCCCACAGTACCATTTGTAATAGATTTTCCAAGCCATCCACTTCTCCATCCGGTTCTAAATCTCATCCGAATAGACCTTCTCTCATTTAAATGGTATTTAATTTTTTACTTCTGTAATTATTTGATTGCTAAATCTTATGATCTACAAGTTGGACATTCAACTAATACCCTTCGCAAATAAAATGACATTGTTTCTGACAGCAGGGGATATACAGCCAATGCAGTATTTTAGGAGGTTGTGACAACTTCTAGTCAAAGAACATTAATCAAGTAACTGAGTTGTTATAAAATTGGTAGAAATGACGCAGAAGCCAGGAATAAAAATGTTTGAGGCTGTCTGTGGTCAGCCTTTTAACCTTTTGAGGAGTTTTAGCATCCCTGTAACTGTGAATTTAATGTCTCTTCAGTTTCATGTGCTGAAGACCCTTTTTATTACAGGTAATTTTCTGTGTAAAGCGATCTGCTGGATAAGCTGTATTTCAAAACTTTTTAAATGTCTTTTATTACATTATCATCACCCTGGTTGATTCATTTATGGAACACAAAGCACTCCCATTTGGAGAGATTTATGCTCGTCTCAATTTTTTTTTTTTTCCCCTGGATTTGCCAGAATGCCGTCATGTTCGTGTTCTGAAGGTTAATGCCCAAAGTCAAGCAGACAGAAGCCAAGTGCTGCAAGGTTTCCAAGATTAGGACTGATTCCCTTCACAGAAATAAATGATTCCTGCCATGTTCAGTGATTTTGTGCAGCGCTCCCCACGGCTGAGTGAGTGCATCAATACTGTAGTCCTTACCTGCTGTACATACTGATGACACTCGGTGTTAACTTGATTGACCGAGCAGTGCACTGGGGAGGAGGCACCTGCAAGAGAAGTGCAGACACATCTATTTTTATCCTGGTCTCGAAACATTTATTTTACATTTATTTTACTTGGGAGTCATGGTTTCAAGTTCCATGGGCTCCCAAGCCACACGGCTAAGGTTAGAACAAACCTTTAAGCGCTGCTTTGTTTTCAGAATTATACTCCAAATGGTCTCAGGTTGCTGCCCTTTGCCAAAGCCTGATTTTCTGCTTTTGAGGGAAAATGACATGAAGATGACTATTGAGAATCAGGACCAATTAGTGACTCTGTGGAATTTAAGTCTCTTAAGAGGTTGTAGCTAATGATGGGCAAATGGATCATTTAATTCCATTATGAGAAATCATTTTGGCTATAATTTTACGTTACATTTTATTATCATGTTTTGTAGGCTTTGAGGCAGCAGCAGAAGAGAAGAAATGGAGTCTCAATGATGGTAAACAAGACTGTCCCGCGTGTTGTTTTGACACCATTAAAGGTGTCTGATGAGCAGTCGGATTCGCCTTCAGGTAAAGAGCTAAAATATCGTATGCTTGGCCAGTTTCTTCCCGGAGGAGACTTCTTCATTGAGGGAGACGTCACGAATTTTCTCTACAACCGAATAATATTTCTACTTGAGGTTTCATTTTAATTTTTTTTATACTTTTGACTCTTTCAGGGAGTCCAAATTAATAGGGCATTTCGCTCTTAAAAAAAAAATAAAAGGCACCAGCTCGCTCCTCATCAAAGGACTTCATTTGCTAATGTCAATAGGTGTTAAGAAAATGTGTGGTACTGCTCCGTGGATTTTTTTGTTGTTGCTTTGGCTTTTGTTTGAATGTTGAACTTTAATGGTGGACCACATGCTGATGTGTAATGCCATCAAAAGCAGTTCTTCCGTGAGTGTGAATTTGTTTTTCAGTCTTCTGCTGCAAAATCAGGCATCCTTTATTAGTTTCTGTGTTCTGGGAACATTCTTCTCACCTCAGTGAAGCCCTGACCTTTTCTTCTAATTTACCTTCTGTCACTTTATCAGCTGTGTACCATTCTATTTATTATAGATTGATGTTTGCATTTTCTGTTCCTGTTTCCACGTAAAGTTATTTAGAAAGGTATGATCTCTCCTTCTCTTCAAGTTTCTCTTCTTCCTTCACGTTTCTATCTCTGTCTTGCATCGTCTCTAAACTGTATAGAATTGTCAAAGCTTATCTGTGTGTTTTTACAAAAGATCTGAGTGGTTCTTTTAAAAGCTATCAGATCAGTGAATGTGTTTTTGACTCCACTATTAGGCCATCTGTTCTTGCTTTTTGTTCTGTTTGATTGATTTATTGGGCTTTTCTCTTTATATCCGGCAGAGGAATCAGATTGTGGCCAAAGGTAGTGAATTAACTTATAGAAAAGGAGATTATATCTATGGTTTTTGAAATAATTTTAGATTTTTCTTTTCAAGGACAGCAAGAAGAAGATAATGACATAATAACTATTTCCTTTTTTAGGATCCGAATCTAAAAATGGTGAAGCAGACAGTTCAGATAAAGAAATGAAACATGGGCAAAAATCTCCCACTGGAAAACAAACAAGTCAGCACTTAAAACGATTAAAAAAGTCTGGTTTGGGTGAGTGTTCAATAGACTATGACATTTCACATTTTAGAGATTTATATCTTTTTCAAGGAAATGATGGAAAATTCTTAGAACAAATGTTTTAATGGTTAAACAAGGAAACTTAAAAATCTTCCCAGTTTATCGAAACCAAAAAGGATACCAAATAAGAAAATAACAGTTCCAAGAGACTGGGCTTAAGCCTATTGCTGAATTTGCAAATGATATTATCGGGTAAAGATAGGAGATTTAAAGTGATCACTGTATTCAAGAAATGATCTGCCAAGTCATGGTTTTATCTACCGTGCCATGTTTTGTTCCTGCAACTGGATTTCAGTTTATTGGAATATACTGTATTGGGGGGGAAAGTGCAGCTTTTGGTAAAGAGTTCATTCAGCCGTCGGGGACATTGTCATTGGGGTCTGCTTCAGTAAAGCTGCTGTGCTTTGCTGGTCATCCGTGCTGCTTGAAATATTCAGTAGTGCTTGTCGGAAAAACAGTGTAAAATTGCTGAGAAGTGTAGGAGACACCGTCCCTGGGTCCTGCAAGTCAGCACCAGCTTTTCTTCTGCAGATTTCCTTCCTGATCACTTGTGTCAGGATCTCAACAGCAGCATTCAGGGAAAACGTAACATAAGAATTAAAGAGACAAAAGTAAACATATCCAGGGCTGAACACTGTAATTCTCTACCGAACCTGCCTCGTTGGATATCTGGACCTACTGGCTTCATTTCTCTCTCAGTTATTTCACCTCTGAGGAAGGGTAATGATAATGACCTGGATCATTGTAATGTTTTGTAAAATGGTTCGTGGAAACTACAATGTTACTGACCTGAACTTTATTATTGGTTCTGCCACGTACTTACTTGACAACTTAGGGCAGTTCTTATTTGCAGTTCATCTTTATAAAATTCAAACAAGAGTTTTACTTTCTCCCTCTTTCTCTCTCTCTCTCTCTAGAGAGATATCTCTCTCTCTCTCAGGTTTACTGATTGCCTATTGTATACCAGGAATTTTGCTAAATCCTGGGAGCATGCTTTCAATAAAAAGTCTTTGAATAGGGGCGCCTGGGTGGCTCAGATGATTAAGCATCTGCCTTCGGCTCCGGCCCTGATTCCAGGGTCCTGGGATCACACCCCACATTGGGCTCCTGGCTCAGTGGGGAGCCTGCTTCTCCTTCTCTGTCTGCCTCTCTCCCTGCTCATGCTCTCTCTCTCTCTCTGTGTGTGTCTCAAATGAATAAATAAGATCTTTAAAAAAAATAAAAAAAGGTCTTTGAATAGAATTTATATATCCTTAGATAAGATCTCTCTAGGGAGGCAGAATTTATTTTCGTTTTACATTCTTGGCATGGAGCATAATTACCTCTTTTGCATTATTTCCAAGGCTAAATAATTTTATAATTTTTGTGTAGCCCAAAATGTATGCATGTGTGTTTGTATATAACCTCACTTACAGATATACTGTTGTGATTTTTTTCTAGTCTTTTGGGGGTTGTAAAGTAAGTACTTTAATAGGAGTAGCTTCTAAAATAGAAAGCTATAATGGGAGAGTGATATGTAAAGGATGTACTAAAAAAACGCCATGTTATGATACCCTAAAAAAATTAAAAGTCAGTGACCTTCGGTTAAAAATGGCCTGCTACCAACGTCAGTGAAGTCAGTGCCGTATCATGAGTTTAAAAAAAAAAAAAATCAAGGCACAGGGGCCTCCCTATTTAATTACTTGGCTAACTTCAGGATTGGGAGTCAAGAAGAGTGTGTATTATGTCCTCAGGATCCTGTCAGGTGTTCAGGTCTTTAGTCAGGAGCTCTTGTATTCTGTTACTGAGAAGCCCTGCATGGCAGTAACCATCTTACATGTTAAAAACTGTATTGTCAGAGTATTTCAGCTGACTTGTTAGCAAAATAAAAAGTTTATAAAGGAAACCATTGTGTTCATTTTAACCTGCTTTTTTTTTTTTTTAAAGACTGCAAATTTTTTTTTTTTTTAAGCTACCTTAGTGAAGGGATGTAGAAGTGAAATCATAGTCACTGCCCATATTTAATGCAATGGTCTAGGTATCTCATCTCGTCTAGTACTGCCTTCAATTATGTACAGTAGAATTATCCCCATTTTTCAGCTGAAGAAACCAAGGCCCAGAGGGTATTAAGGAGGTTTCCCATGAATGACATGGCTAAGATACTAGCCAAGGCATAGCTAGCTCCGAAGTCTAAACCATTATCTTGGGGGTCTGATTGTCGCGTCATTCAGCCCATTACCACAGACTTGCAGGCACCACTGAGGAGTGGCAGGGCGCTTTGTGACGTCACAAGTCCACCGTAAGCGTTAAAATGCAGGTTCACTAGTTACCTATAGAAGAGAGAGCTAGCAGCTCTAAGATTTCCTGTCTGATCCTGTAAAATCAGGGCAGATGGAAGAAGAAGATGGGACTTAAAATAAGTCAATTAAGGTAAAAAACTGCCAAAGAGAAGCTGAAGGTGATTACTGGGAAGGCGATGGGAGTGATGCCTAAGCAGCAAACAACTGGGGGGAGTGGCTTATTCTGCGCCAATGAAGTCAGTGGGGCTTATGAAGCTTCCAGTAGAGTCCCAGCACTGTAAAATAAAAAGTGAAGAAATAGAAGAATGAAATGAAAGAAAGAGCCTTAAATGTAACCATTTCTAGACAATGCCCCATGTCTCTTTTAGAAAGTAATATGTTTGATGTTCTATGACCTTAGGAATCTTACAGAGTAAAAGAATCTCAATGCTGTGAAGGATTTTCAGATCGGAATGGTATTTAAGATTTCTTAAGGCATATTTATTTATATTTTGCTCTCCCCTCTTTGCCATTAAGTTGTTAATTCTGTGGGTGCAGTGACCTTCCTGTCTGTCTTTGAGGTCCTCACCACACCCATTATGCTCTTCTTGTTTAGTAGGTGCTGGATGAGTTTTGAATGAATTATGTTTAAGTAGCTGAAGGGGTAATAAGTTTGGATGAATGAGGCATCCTGTAGGTTTCAGCATGCTTACATACCCTTGAATAAAAATGGTCCTGTGCTCCTGGGGAAGGTCAATCTTGTATAGCTGCAGATACAGTGCAAAGAAAGATGAACCCAGCCAACACCCAGGAGCCAGCCAGACAGGGAGAGCTGGTTCTTCCCCATGTTTTCCCCATCAGGGTTAGACGTCTAATTCATACAGTTTTAGAAATGTGCTTTGAACCATCATTGCCTTCTCTAGGTAGAGGTAACTGTATATAACTCCTAACCTGTTGAAACCATTCTGAATTAAAACCAATGGTGTAAATCTTTTCTAACTTCAATTGGTAACCCTGAAACTAAATCCAGTCAAAATCAGAGGTTAGGGTGTAAGTCTAAATTGTCATCCTTATTGTGAGATTTCCCTAACCGGATATAAAATACTTCTCATTGTCCTCTAAGTACTTCCTTTTGGTCTGTGACAATTACTCAGTCAAATTGCAGGCTAGTCACCCTATTCAGGTATAGATTTCACTTGGGTCTTGGAATCTCATGCATGTAGCCCAGGGCCTGGTGCACTTCCCTGAGGACACTGCGGGAAGAACGCACCATAAACCTCCTTCAGGTCCCTTCATATGCCAGTTTCCCTGGAGAAGGTGAGGAACACACAATAAAAAATTACCAGGGGGTGCCTGGGTGGCTCAGTTGGTTAAGCATCCGACTCTTGGTTCAGCTCAGGTTATGATCTCAGGGTCATGCACTCAGTGGGAAGTCTGCTTGAAGATTCTCTCCCTCTGTCCCTCTCCTCACTTGCTTTTTCTCTCTCTCTACAACAAACAAATAAATCTTTCTAAAAAATCATTGAACTTTTGTATCCCTCAGTCATTCTAGTTCTTCTGATGGTGATCTTGAAACTTTTATGAGAAATATATCACTTAGCATGGGAACCCATTATTTCTAACATAGGTTTTTGTTTGTTTGTTTGGTTTGGTTTGGTTGTTCTTGTCCAGGGTTATGTATGAAAATTATGACACTATTTCTACGAGTAGCTCTCTCATTGAATAGACATTGTAACAGAGTGAGTGGGTGCAATTGAATAAAATTAATGGGTCTAAAGACTATTTCTCTAATGCTGTGAAAATAAAAATGCGTCTGTTACCCATTTTTACATCATACATGGTAGAAACACTATTCTGATAAGCATACAAATAAATGCTAACAATACCTACTGGGCTCTTTTGTCAAAGGTCTTGCAAATTAGTATCACAGTAAATATTAGATCACCAAGTAAAAAGGCAGTAGAAACTGCAGCTGGTGAGATGAAAGGTTGGTGACGGCTGAAAATAGGGTTTGAAGTGTATGTTTTCTTGCCTCATCAGTTTCTCCTGGCCTTAGCAAAAGATGGAACTCATTTAAAACCTCCCCCTATGGAGCTTTCTGAGCTAACCCTGGTACATTTTCATCTCATGGTCTTCAGGGCACTTAGAGGATGGGTTGTAAACATTTTAAAAAATTGTTTAATGATATTCTCTCCTTCCACTTGTTTTGTATTAATTTCTCACATTTTCCCCTAACTGAAACATAAGTTCTTTGAATTAGGGGTCATTGAGCTAAACCAATTTTTAATTATACTGTTTTCCTACCTGGTCACACAGTAGGAGTTTGAAGGGGGGTAAATTGGAGGGGGAGACGAACCATGAGAGATGATGGACTCTGAAAAAAAAAACTGAGGGTTCTAAGGGGAGGGGTGTGGGGGGATGGGTTAGCCTGGTGATGGGTATTAAAGAGGGCATGTTCTGCGTAGAGCACTGGGTGTTATGCACAAACCATCATGGAACACTACATCAAAAACTAATGATGTAATGTATGGTGATTAACATAACAATAAAAAATTTAAGAAAAGTACTTGCTAAACAAATCTAAGCTTCTAATGGATTATCTCTGAGGGGTTTTTAATGAATGTCTTTACTGAGCCCAACTTCTAGGATTCATGCCAGTGTATTTTATTTGGTTTAATCTTTTTGTAGTGAAAAATTACAACTTTGCTGGTTTCA